AGTCCTGCTGTAGTATCCACCTACTACAATTCTTTAAGGCACATTGCACCCTCCCCACATGTTTACTCAGTACATCCTCATTGCAGGTTATTATTAGCTTTGTTAAACACATCACAAGATGCACATCCATGTCACCTGGGAGGATACAGATTTTGATCACACAGGACACTTAAGTTTTTTCAACACACCCAGGTGCACTGGTAAGGAGCTGATCACCAGACATGGCCCCCAAGGGATCTCCTATAACAGGATGGTCCCTATCACTGCCACTGCCATTATGGAATTGCTGTGCACTGTTGCCTGCAAACCTCAGTGTGGCTGCTAATGTTGAGGGGGTGCTGAAGGAAGACTGTGTGGGCACCCTACCCAGATAACAGGCAAGGCCTCCTTGAGTAGCTGAGCTGAGGCTGCCGGAAACCTGACTAGAATCCTGCCCCCCTTAACTCCACTGCTTTTGGCCCTTCTACAGTTCCTGGAAGGTAGATACTAGTCTGAGTCCAGGAGTGCAGCCATTAGGAGATGTTGGATCCCTCTGCTAGGCACCCACTTTTGTCAGCAGGGTAGGATCCACACACAGCCACCCTGTCCCTGGGGGAGCAGAATGAGCCTGCAGGACCAAGGCGCCACAGCTGCTCTCAGAGATCCCTGCGTGTCCAGAGCTGACAGCTTTCCTACATAGAATCTATTTTCCACTCTGGGGAAAAAAAGAGAGAACTTGAGATTGTGATCTCTATTCAGAGACTGTTTTACTGATTGATTACCTTTTTTGGTTTAACAGTTAAAATGTTTATTTAAAAGAAGTATATTATGTGGCTTTCGATTTACATTAATTTATAAATATAACTTTGGGGAAAATAGAGACTCAAATTTAAAAAATAAATAGAAACAAAATTAGTAGTGCAGTTTTAGAGAACTTAATAAAAAGTAACTAAAAAAATCCATGAACTTTGGTGTCAATACAGAATGGTTATCAGTATTATCTATGGAGATGATTATTAAGGGATGTTTAGCATTTGCAGAATTCCTGTGTATCTTCATATTTATGTTTGATACATTGAGTTCTACAGTCGCTGTCCTCTCTTCAGGATTTTTTTCTCTCCCTGATTGCCCATCTTATTACCAAGTCTCATAAGTTCAGATTCCTGGCTTGAGTACAGCTGCATTTTTTTTTTCAGGGCCTTGTCCTCATATCCTCTTGATTTTTCAAGAATGCTAAAAAAGAAAAGCAAATCTTTAGAACAGGAATCTTTGATTAATCTGAGGGGTGCAGCCTTTATGTTTCATGCACAGACAAGGCAGTCCTGCTGTAGTATCCACCTACTACAATTCTTTAAGGCACATTGCACCCTCCCCACATGTTTACTCAGTACATCCTCATTGCAGGTTATTATTAGCTAATATGCACATCCATGTCATCTTGTGGGGGGGTACAGACTTTGATCACACAGGACACTTAAGTTCTCCAAACATGCCCAGGTGCACTGGTAAGGAGCTGATCACCAGGCATGGCCCTCAAGGAGTCTCCTATAACAGGCTGGTCCCTATCACTGCCCCTGCCATTATGGAATTGCTGTGCACTGTTTCCTGCAAACCCCAGTGTGGCTGCTAATGTTGATGGGGGGTGCTGAAGGAAGACTGTGTGGGCACTCCACCCAAGTAACAGTTAAGGTATCCCTGAGTTGCTGACTTGAGGCTGGAAACCTGAACTGGAATCCTGCCCCCCCCACACACACACTGCTTTTGGCCCCTCTGCTGTTCCTGGAAGGTAGATACTAGTCTGAGTCCAGGAGTGCAGCCATTAGGAGATTTGGACCCCTCTGCTAGGCACCCACTTTTGTCAGCAGGGTAGGGCCCACACACAGCAACCCTGTCCCTGGGGGAGCAGAGTGAGCAGGCAGGGCCAAGGCACCACAGCTGCTCTCAGTGATCCCTGCATGTTCAGACTAGTGCCAGCTCCTGCGGTGTGGTAGGCACCCAGGGTGCTCTTCTTCCCTAGGGTGGTGGACCAGGTTTGTGTCCTGATCAGGAACCAGAGATAAGGAGAAGAGAGAGAGAGAGAGGGCCCAGCAGGTGCCACTAAGCGCTGGCTCTGGGGGTAGGAGACACCTCAGGTGACTGTGCAGCAGCCCTAGTTTTGATTCTGCTTGCTAAGCTTTGCACCCCTGGCCTCTGCACTAAGTCCTCCAGGGACCACTGTGACCACCAACACCCTCCCAATCCCACAGAGGTTCCTGAAGGAGTCATGTTTTTAAAGAAATGTTCAAGGTTTAAATGTATCTCAAGGCAAAATTTCTGCAACACTCCAAAAGCTTTGGTGTCATGTTTCCAATTTTCCTTCAGGTATATTTGTTAGTAAACCAGAGGTGTCATTGTGGTTAAGGTGCTGGATTCCCACATGGCCCACTAGGTTTGGAATTCTAGAGTCCTGGACCTGGCTGCTTGAAAATCCAGCAGGTCGTGTGTGCATGGGTACCCAAAATCTCCACAGAAGAATGGAGAAGGAATGACATCATGAAGATCCCCTTTGAGGGGTGGTTTCTCACTTTCCCTCCCTGTTTGTCTCTTTGTCTCTGTCCCATGAGCACAGGCTCTATGGCAAAAACCTAAAAAAAAAAAAAAGAGTAGAATTATTATTTAAGTAAAAATGTGCAGTATTCATAAAGCTATTTTGTTTAAGAAATATAGCCACATAAGTTGCCTTTATTCAAAACTTTGGAGGCCTATAGGTTGTGGCAGTTAAGATGCTGGACTCCCACATGGCCAACAATGTGAGTCCTGGACTTGGCAGACCTAACTACTTCCTTTCTCACTCTTCCTCCCACCCTTCATATCTCTCTGGTGATTATATAAAATTAAACTAATAATAACAATAATAAATAAAATTAAATAAATAATTCTTAGAACAATAATTTGGAATAATCTCTATTAAAGGTACCAGAATTTTCTTTTCTTTTCTTTTCTTTTTTGGGGGAGGGGGTTCTGCTATATCACACATGTGCTCACCACAAAGACAGAAAGACAGAGAAACAGAAAATGAGAAATCACCCCCCCAGGGGGCATGGCCACGCCACAATACCTTCTCTATTCTTCTCTCAGTATCTTGGGCATGCATACATACACACCTGGTGTGAGTATAAGCCACCGAATCCAGGATTTGAACCATGGTTGACTACATGGGAGTCCAGCAACACAGCCATTACACCAACTGCTGGGCCCAGTACTAGAATTTTCTAACTACAAATGAGAAGATTAAATTCATAGGACTCACAATAGCCACCTGGCCTAGATTCACAGGTGCAGGAACTATGCACGCTGCTGCACAATTGACTGATGAGTTGATCTGGCGTGGGGTGGAATGGGTGATGATGAGGGTTTTAAGAATGAAACAGATGCATGCAGCATCCATGTGGACCACAGGCAAAAGAAGCTGATTATGAGATAGATGTGTGCTGTTACCTTGTTAGTCCCCAATGTCCTGGAACTTATTGACTCCCCCATCATTCCCAGAGACAAGAGAGATGTTATCACAAAACAGCCCATGCAGGGACCAGCAGTTAGCATAATGGCTATGTCACTGGACTCCCACGTAGTTGACAGTGGTTCGAGTCTCGGACCTGGTGACTTAAACTCACACCGGGTGCGTGTGCGTGCGTGCCCAAGATCCCAAGAAGAGATTGGAGGAGAAGGGATTGCAGCATGGCCATCCCCGCTGCGGGGCGATTTTCTGTCTCTCTCTGTCTGTCTGGCGAGCGCATGCACCCAGGCGGACCGCGCGACCCAATGGAAAAAACCCCCGCAAAAAAAAAAAAAAAAAAAAAAAAACCCAAAAAACAGCCCTTCCTTAGTTCTAAGATTTCTTCCTTCAATTTCTCCTGCTGTCTTCTCAGTGCTAAGTCTCTGAAGATCTGCCCTACATACTTCAGTATCCAGGAACATCCACTGTCTACATGTTCAATTATCCTTCCTTTAGAAAACTCACCTTCTCTCCACTTCACAGGCTGCATTAAATGTCTCTCCACATGCCTACCTCCATTACTCAAGCAGTAAAAGTTATTCATCAAATAGTAGTTAAGGGGTACCCCTTCATTATTTGCTTGATGCTAGGTGCTTTCAGGTACAGAACAGTTGTCAATAAATTTCCAAATGGTATGTTTGCTCCTTGAAGATAAATATTATATTTTACTCATTTTTCTAGCTCTAATTCCATGTAAACACATAGTAATTGCCCAATATGTGTACTCATTTGGCCAATAATTATTATACATATCACACACATAGATCCTAGCATCCCCTCAGGATGCAAAATGCTACCTACTTAGATAAATTTGTATAATACATTAGTAGAAAATGATAGAAATAGGAAAATGACTCTTTCTGTCTAACAAAATTTTAAATTTACAAGAAATGTTTGATATGAAGTCATTGCTCCACACATTCTTTCTAGCTCACCAGATTTTGAGATGAGCTGAAGAGAAGCTAGGAAGTCACTTTGGTATCCATCATCTCCTGGTTTAGATCCAAGCGGGACTTTTCCTCAATTTGTACCCTGGGAGAGCCCACTCTTATGTCAACGGGCCAATAAAACACCATATTGCAGGGTACAAAGGATTCTACACATTCTTATAATTTACAGTGACACAGGGAGCTTGAATTTACTTTGATGTTTTTGAGATAAAATTTATCTTTATTGGTAACATATAAGTTGAATAAATGCAAAGGAAAACAATAGAATGAAAGAAAGTGTGTGAAAATTAATTCTTATTTTATTTTTTTAAGGTTTTGCCATAGAGCATGTTCACTCACCAGAGAGAGTCCAAGGAAGGGAGAAATTGCCCACTAGAGGTAATGGTGAAGCCACAATTCCTTCTCCTCCATTCTCCTCTCAGGATTATGGGTGCACACACATAAACATCCAGTGTGACTTTCAAGCCAACAGCTCAAGGACTCAAATCACAGCTTCATTTTTAATCTGTTGCATCTGATCACCAGCGTGCCCCACCATGTCAGACACAGCTGTGGACACTAGCTCCGAGATTATTACCAAGGACTTAAAGGAGAAGAAGGAAGTTATGGAGGAGGCGGAGAATGGACGAGATGTCCCCACAAATGGGAATGCTAATGAGGAAAATGGTAAGCAGGAAGCTGATTATGAGATCGACAAAGAAGAGGAAGAAGGTGGGAAGGAGGAGGAAGAGGAGGAAGAAGGCAACAGTGAAGAAGATGATGGAGATGAAGATGAGGAGGCTGAGGCAGCTACGGGCAAATGGGCAGCTGAGGATGACAAGGATGACCAGGTTGATGCCAAAAAGCAGAAGACCAATGAGGATGACTAGACAGCAAGAAGGTGAAAAGTTAAACATATGTATGCATATATATATACATATATATATATATAT